GCGGCAAGCTCAGCAAGTAAGTCACGGGAGGTGGGACCGTGGGCAGCCCCTCCTGCAGCTTCCGTGGCTTCCTGCGGGGCTTGCTCAAGGCTGGCTTATCCCTTGGCAATGGATACCCGTCCCTTCAGCTCAAAAGGTCTCCTTCTCAAAAGGTCCCCTTCTCACTGCTTCGCAGCAGAGCAGGGAGGGAAGGAGCCGAGCAGAGACGCCGGCACTCCTCATTCCCTACCTCCGAGATCTCCTCTTTGGCCTGCTGCAGCTTGTCGGGTTTGTTGGCCCACAGCAGCCTGGCCTCCATCTCCCTCTTCTTCTGCAGCATGGTCTGAGCGTCCTGCCACCGCTGCCAGGTCTTCATGCGCTGGTCAAAGGCCCCCTGAAAGGAAGGGGTAGAGACTGAGCTCTGCTCTGTCTCTACTGCCACACACCAGGAGCAGCGGGCAGCTGCAAGGAGCTCTGCTGACAGTGACAACCGCATCTTTGGCGATGGGGACATCAGCTAGTGACAGAGCTGCTTCACCATTGAGGTCCTGAGCCCATCTCAGTGTAACCAAAGCTAGACCAGAACGTGGGCTTGCTCTACTACCAAGGGAGCCCAAGGTGCAACATCAACCAACTCATGCTTCAGGAGCAGCTTTGAGGCCTCCCTCAGTACAGGGCTGCCCACCTGCGCTTGGGTTTGGCAGGAGAGCCATTGGAAAAGCTCCAACTACACGCGTGGTCCAGCACAAGCCTGGACAGGCCCGAGGCCACCAACTGAACTGGCAGCATCCCAAACACGACGTCTAACCTGTCCCCAAGCCCTGCCGCCTGCCTGGGTTCAGTGCTGCCATTGAGAGTGGCCAGTACAAGCAGCTACCCTTCCCTGTCCCACCCCAGATCTCCACCACGAGCTCCTCCAAAGCTAAGTGCCCACAGCTCCTGCTGACCACACAGCGTGCTCCTGCACCAGCTCACGGACATCTGTCGGGAGACCAGATGATTTTAGCAGGCCTGCAAGCCACCAGCCCAAGCAAGGAAGACCCCATTCGGCTCCCGATCCAGCCAGATCATGGGCAAGAGCCAGAAAAGCAGCAAGCAGTGTTCCATAGCCTGGTCAGAAGGACAGAGCAGCCAAAAGACAGGTAGAGTCTGAGGCAACGCTAGGGCTCCTTCCCAGAACATCCCAGGTAAGTCTTACTACCTCCAGCGCTAGCGGAGATCTTGGTCCTGCTCTGCAGCACCCACCGCACCTCCCAGTACAGACTGGCAGACCAAGGAGGCTCGTACCTACTCACTAGGCTGCATTGTGGCCTCTGTAGCCTCCAGAAATGACTGCTCAGAGGCAGGACACGTTTGGGGCAGGAACGAGTCAGCCTGCCAGACTTGCAGCTCACTTGGGACTGGTTTCTTTCAGCCTCCAGCAAGGAGGCCAGTGCCCCAGGCAGGCTGCATGGACCTGAAGCTCTCCCCCAGTAGGCGCTTGGCACATCTATTTGCAACACCCCGATCACGAGCTATCAGCTCACAGCCACCGCAGTAGCCGCAGCCTTCGCCTCTGGAAGGGTTGAGGCCACCTACGAGCCACGAACTTGCTCCACATCCTCCTGGGAGAACAGCAACACAGCCAGGCCTCACCTACATCCCGTTTCCCACCTAACCACTCCGACGCATGCAAAATTGGACGAGGCTGGAGAGATGACATGCCCTGTGCTTGAATTCAGAAGACCAGCTGCCTCCTGGCACACCTAAGCCCGAGATGGGTGCGAGGACCAGCAGCGTAGCCTCGAGCTTGCCCCAGAGGAGTGCTTACCCTTACAACTGAGAGGAGGCGGATGTAGTCTCCCAGGAGCTCGGCCAGGAGGAAGAAGTCATTGTTAGCCTGTTCCTGGTGCAGCTGCTCAATCTTCTCTTCCACCTCAGCCAGCTGGGACAGCGCCCGGGACAGGGCCGTGTTGTCCTCCGAGCTCCCCAGCATGGCCAGACTCTTTGCAAACTGGGCTGTATTCAACGCTAGCTCTAAGTGAACGGAATAAGAGAGTCAACCGATGGGCCTCGCTACACCGGGTGCTCCACAAGTAAAGCCCCAGCCTAGAGTTCAGCCCAAGGAGCTGCTTTTCCGTAGCCCCAGGAGACGTCAGCTGGAAGAACCAGCACCACCTCGGCCAGAGCTGGCAGCTCCAGCCGGGGAGGAGAAGGGAAGCAGCAGAGTGGGAGGACAGGCACAGCTTTGCAGAAGTCAGCCAAAACGTGCAGAAGAAGGAAAAAAACCAAAAACCACCCTCGCTCCCTGCCAGAGGACAGCTGGGAATTAGTAATAAGATCAGCTCTGCTCGGGTTTGCTACAGCAGCCTTCATCCAACAGGACACCGGTTCACTTCAACACCATCATCCTGAGCTTGTAGGGTGGGACAGAAGAGGTGGGATTACTGTTTTACTTCTGTCTCCCATGATGAAGAGAGCAGGAGTCTTTTACGGTAAGGAAGCACTGTCCTATCTTCTCAGAAGTGCCTCCCGGGACAGCTGTGCACTGGTGACCTCCAGTCAGGCACCGCACAAGGCTTAACGGTTTCGGGCCAAGCTACAGCTCAAGCGGTACCAAGCTTGTTACCTTTCCTGTGGTTCACGAGCGTTTCGACGACAGCATGCAACTTCCGTAGCCGCTGGTCCTCGCACTCCACCTCCTGCAGCTTCTCCTCAAACCACTGAAACAGGTAAACCCAGAGCTGATTCCCACAGATGGGATCGCTGCGGGGCTTTCCTTCCATCTCGCGCCCAAAGCTTGCGCTGGGGAGAGCGCGCAGCCCCAGAGCGAGGACAAGGACAGCCCAGAGGTGTCCTAATACTTACTATGTCCGATTCATTCATTTTGATGGTCATTTTACTGACGGCATCCGTAGCTTTGTTGAACATCTTCAGTATTCCTGCTCCACTCAGGGTCTGGGTGCCCACTGCTCTCGGTAGCTATAAACAAATAGAAAAGGAGATAAAAGCAGCTTAGTGAGCGGCCACCACAGTGGCATCGTTCTCCCATGGGGGTCCCTTGACAGCAGGTCTTCTGCTCACAGCTACTGCAAAGGATAAGCCAGACACCACCTGAGTGGTGGCAAAGCCCGTACGGTACTTCAAACAACAGGACTGGAGTGGTTTTCAAACAAATGAGGAGTTCCTAAACCTTACGCTGTATCTGGGGTCTACCTGTTCTGCACCGCCAAGGGAAGAGAGATCTGTGAGAACCTGCCATGCTACTTGAATCCCTCAACTAAGGGCTGCCCAAGCTGCCACAGGTCACACAGGCAGGTAGAAGCGCTTCAGAGCATCTCTCCAAAAGCCAGTAGCAGTTTGCACTGCCAGGGGACACTAGAGTAGCGCGGTGCTTTGATGCTGGGAAATACTCTACACCAGCCACAATTATTTTCCAGACAGAACTGCATCTGCTCAGCAGCAAAGTGAGGTGTTTCCGCGACGTCTGCTCCTACACCAGAGCCCTCCAGCACAGCATTACTGCTGGAATCACTCAGGGCTGGGCTTCCCCCAGGTTCAGCCTCTTTAAGACTCTGACTTCTCCAAGCCAGATACGCGGTTGGGTATGGTCATACTCTCCTTGGAGAAGCAGGGACCGCATCAGGCACACGGTTCAGTACAGAACCAGCAGTCCCTTAACACCCGAGCACCAGGCCAAGCCAGCACGGGACACGCCTCGCCTCCAAACAGCAGGCAACGCTCCTATCATGGATTTCAGAGAACAAAGACTACTCGTGCTCTCAATGTGTGCCCCCACCATGATGTAAGCAAGCTAGGCCAGAGCTCGTTATGACTGTGCCGTGCTTAGACAAGCACTGACACACAGAAGAGAGTCCTGCTCTCCTCGTCACTGGTTAAGAGCTCTTACAGGGTTCTCCTGCTTCTTGCTGAGCTTTGAAGCACGATGTTTCATTAACTGCTTGTGTGCTGCTTCCTTCTGTACTTCAAAGGTACTTGTAGCTACGTTATTCCACGCTACTGACCTCCTCCTTTTCCAAGAACTCCCTGACGTCGGGGTCCTGCAGCATTGTGGGATGGCTCACCACTCTCCGTAGGTACCTGTGGAGAGGAACGCACCAAAGAGTCGCTTGGGTTGTAGCAAACCTGGCTCCGAGCCACCACAGCGAGCTGCAGCGTGCGCAGGTCAACCGCACCGTGCTTGTTATTTACTCCGAAATGGCAGTTCGGTAGCTAGAAGTCAGGTCCAACAAGCTGTTCTCATCCACCCACCAAGAGTCCTACCTCCTTGTGGACTCTAGTGAGACTAGCCCGCGAGACCAGACCTGCCAGACCTTTGGATTAGCACTTGGCTACTGCAAGAAAGTTACTTGATACGTCAAGTGATCAAGATTTAGCGTTACATCTTTACTGACACCGCTTTTAACGGCTGAAGCTGGAGGCGGGGCGGGGGGAGATCAGCACCCCAGTGCCAACTACAACAGTCAACAGAGGCGGCGGAGCAAAGGCCACCTGTGGCTGCGTAGTTTGGGTCCAAGTTACACAGAGGTAGAGTTGTTTCTCACCTGATCCGCACTGTTTGTACAATTACTTAACGTCCCTGGTTTTGGGCTCCTGAGACAGCCCAGTTCTCTCCCTGCCTCATCAGGGGAGTTTGGCCAGATTTGCACCAAACACCAGCGGAGGCTTCTGAAGCTTTTTTGAGATCGTTTTACAGCGGCAAAGCAACTCTCTGCAGTTACAACTCTTCAGCAGCCTCCAGGTTTGCTGTAAACCTAGAAGCAGACGGCTTTTCTCACGTAGGGAGGAGAGTGCAGCCAGTCTGACCTTTCAGAGGTCCCTTGCTTGGTTCAGGCACGAGGGGATAGCTGTTGGGGTCTGTACCTCTCTAGAGCAGCCCGTCTTTTTTCTAGGAACTCTGCAGAGGAGGAGTCTTCCTTCCCAACTTTCACTTTGGTCATTCCTAACGCAGAAGGAAGACACAATTAACGAGCTGCTTCAAACTCAACGCACAAGGTAGCACGGTCTGTTACAAAGTACAGACCGTCAGGGTGACGGCAGGAGAGGCGTTTTACAAGAGGAATTAGATATTGCATCAGCAAGAGCTACTCGGAAATTTAAAATCTGCTTATGCCTAACATCTAGCAGAAGTCGACAGCCAGAAAAGAGGCAGAGCGATGCCAGGCAAGGCCAGAAAGAAGGGTTACAGGTCTGGACTCAAGTGAACAGCAATTCAGCGACAGCGCAGAGGATGAGCTTTTACTCTACGTCAAGCAGATGCAGAGGCATCTGCGAATTCCAACAAGGCTTTAAGCCCGGAGCTCCAAGTACGGAACCAGAGTTTTGTCTGTACCACGGAACCCAGATTGTTTTCCACACCCGCTTCCCACGGCTGCTCCGCAGCTTCCCTCTCTAAGCTTTGAGACCGCAGACAGGCCCATCCTTCAGCCGCAAAGCTCACCAGCAGAAGGACCAGCTCTATTGCTCTGAACCTCCACCACTCACCTATGAGACTCTTCTCGGGTGGCGGAGGAACGATGAACCCATTTTGGGCATGCTTCTCCGACAACTTCTCATAGAGACCCAGAAAGTCACTGAACCTCCTTTTCACTGAAAACTGCTTGCTCCTGAACATGGGCATGCTCGTCTGGGGGAAGAGACGAGACTCGTGTCAGACTCACCCGGGGAAGCTTGCCCCTGCCCGCACAAAGCCTTGCTCGCTCTACCTGCTGTCACTTCTGGGGATGACGTGGGACAGCTTGAGCTCTGTGAGATCGGAGCAACAGGCATGGCTGAACAGAGCAAGCTCGGGCCTGGGTTTTCAGCAACTTACCTCCTAACAGGTCTCCTTGGACCCAGCAGCAGTATTAATGCCACTAAATAACAGAGCAGCTGTTACCGCGGCTGCATGCTGCTCGGTAAGCCCTGCCCATTGCCTAATCCCATCATCCCCGCTCCCCACGGGAACAGGGACCGCTGTCAGGTCAGGCTTTATCACCTTAAGACTACAAGGGCCATCAGTGGCTTTTGACGGTGTTTGCAGAGCAGGAGCGGAGGCTAACCAGTCCCCTCGTCCCCTTCACACACCATCAGCTTTGGACCACATGGTGCCCAGCGGCTGCTGTACAGACAGCTAGGGACAACTCTTCGCAGAGCTCAGAGCAGCACCCCAAGGCTCCAAGCAGGGCAGCAGCTGCAGGAGGCTCAATTTCTTGTGACTAAGCCAGGAGAGCAGGTCCTGACATGAAACAAGCTATAGCAGCAGCTCTTCAGCAAGAGCCAAGTTCAGGTCAGCTTAATCTGATGCGACCATCGGCACAAAACCATTAGCAACAGCCCCAGTGTCTGGAGCTCTCCCTAACAGATGTCAGAAAAAAAAAAAAAGAGAGACCGCCTCCTCTCAAACATCCTTTGATCTGTAGGGGTGGATTATAACTCCTGAATCCATGTAACAAGGCATTCAGACCTCCTGTCTATTTAGGTCACCACTGGCTTGGGTAAGAACAGACATTCCAGCTGCCTTCAAGCATGGAAAAATAATGGCAGCCCATCTCAGGAGCGATGAGTTAAGCCATACCTGTGTTGACACTTTGTAGGCTACGTACGCGTTCATGCCATCCCCTACGGAAAACAGAAACAAGGCATTAGTATCACAAGATCAGCGCTTTCCACTATCACCTGAACGCAAAGCACAAGGCTCCCGCGATCTCCCGGCCTTTGCCTGCCTCAGTGGTTCTATCTTCAGCTTGATAGAGCCCCAAACCTTCATGCAGAACCACAGGCAGCATCTCACCGCGAGACCCTGGACTCCTGCCCATCAGGCGTTTCCCCGATCTGACCGCTTTAGTCCTCCTTTTACTTCCTAAGGCAGCCAACGCCGACAATCGGCCGCTTGTTACACCGACAGCATTTGGGCTGACTCCACGCATCTGCTCAGCATGCAACAATTCGGTGGCTGTACAGCACATGAAGCAGTCTATTCAGAGGACGCAAGTCAGACAGCCCCTGGCTGCATGTGGTTGGATTCCGAAACATCACAGGCAGTTTTCTCCAGTTAACACAGAAATCCCCTTGTTCACCTGGTAGTTCAAGCAAAGGGCATCCTCAGAGGTCTGACACTACACCTAATATACCTCCTCAGAGCACCTCCCAGCTCTGGAGATCACAAGGCACGGAACGAGAACAAGCTGCCACTCGTGAGGCTGCTCCGCTGGCTGGGATCAGGCATTACCTTGGGTTCTCTGCACCTCAGGGGCTGCCTCGCAGCTCGCCAAGTTCCTCTGACCCCCACTTTCAACAGTGAGAAACCCTCTTGCTTCTCAGTTTGAAGCCAGAGCGGCTTCCCTGGCGAGCACAGCTGCTACGGGAGGTGCCAGAGCATGGAATAATACGCTTAGTTTTAAGTTAAGGCAGTTTAGCCTCCCCCTTGCCAGCTGCACACAGGACAGTGCTGCCCGGAGGTCGAGCCAAGCTGGTCACCACAGCTCCAGACACCAAGCTCTGCTACTGCAAGCATCACGTTTCACCCTCCCAAAAAACCCGCTCCTGGCTCCCCGCCTTTGAGGTCCTTGGCTTTCCAAAACCTGCTTCTGCCTCACTCGTTTGTGTGACCTAGTCATTTTGCTTGGCGTAGCTCCGTTTCTTCTAGATGTTGGAAGAAGTCTTGGAGAAGTTACGCCAGGATCAAGTTTGCGCTTGCAGAGATAGCTCGAAAGCCGGAGCTGTGGCACGTGGAGGCGATGGCTGCGTTCAGTCCTACAGCCAAGCCTAGCTTGTCTGACTGCACGTCACCACGCAGCAGGACGGGACGTTAACTCACCAACTTTCTCTGGGTCACTCACTCCTACAGTCAGTTCAAATTTGTCTTCCTGTTCCTCTTCTTCCAGCTGTTTGGAGAAAAAGCACACGAGGACAGCAAGTTAAAACTAAAAAGCCAGGCTTCAAACCGCCCCAAAACACAAAGTCCCGTGCATTACAGTGAGCTTGTCACACTGTCAAGGCATCTTTGGCACTTCAGTCTGGCCAAGGCCATTCTATAAAGCCCCTGAGCTTCTCACTTGCATCCGGGCTACTTGTTTCGAGCATCCTAAACTGGGTTTGTCTTCACGACACTGGTACCTGCACAGACCCACGTACAAACCGCTCAGCCCCAAGGCAAAACTGCGGACTCCAGCCTCAGCTCTGTGCAAAGAGAGTTCCCTTTGGGCTCTTTTACGTCGAGATTTCGGTTCTCATCTGAAACAGCGTACAACACACGGGGATGGAAAGCCAGGACAGCAACTGGCAGACCCAGCCTGAACGGGTCTTTCCATCACACCCTGCTTTGCTAAAGGCCAGTGGGCGGCTGTACCGGCAGTACAGCCTCTGACAGACCACAGAGGCTTCACGCTTGCTTAGCAAGCATTGCAGCACCTCGTTAGTGGAACGGTATTAAAGGACTGAGCAAAGCAGAACAGACACTGGCCTCAAACGGCCTTTGGTGTATGAACAGGAAGGCGACAGCTTATCGGTTCAGTGACCGGCTCAGCACCCCGGCCTTGTTCTGCATCGCTCCTTCACTTAAGCCAGTCTGAAGCCAACCTGAAACGCTACTCCTGACAGCACTGCAGAGTCAGTCCTCATGACCTCAGGGGTGTTTGGGGCAGAAAAGGCGCACTTTCCTTGTCTCCAAAATAGTTTCAGCCTCTCTAAGGGGAAAACCCAGATTTAGGCCAAGTACCACCTGATTAACTGGGCTTCACAACCAGAACACGAGCTCCGCTTGAGGACCCTGTGCTCTCACCTCAGCCAGGAGACCGCTTCTTTTAACAACACGGACGAGAGCAGCTTGCCCCATCCATCTGCAGCAATACAGCGTGCTAGAGCTCCGAGTCAGAGCTCGGACCCTCAGGACCAGACCAGCCGCTTGCCATTTCAAGTTTTGGACGCAGTCTGCACCACCACACCAGCAAGAATGCTGTCAGGCTGACCTGAACCCCACTTCAGCCTTATCAGTCCCAGACTGATACTGGCCTGAGATACAAGCCAGGGCATCCCATAGGGAAATTACGTTAATTGCATCATTTAAGATGCGTGTTTACAACTAAGTAAGCAGACAGGTTCCTGCCAATTACAGTTTGAAACCAGCAGGGCAAGTTGGAAAGCTCAGAGCAGTTCTCACCTCCTCATAGCTCTTTGGAGGGTTTCTAGAAGAGGAGCTTGCAGCTACTTCTAATGAGGGGACAGGATTGGATGCTTTGGCCAGTTCCTTCTTCTGGTTGTTTTGCGTGCTGTCTAAAGACAACTCTACAGTGGCATCTGTCAAGAGAAGTTTGCAAGGGTCAGCCTCTCTATCTTGGGTTTCTGGAAAGGTAATTTCAACGTTCTTCGAGAGGTTCATGGGATCTAGAGAGTAACAATAGTCTTAATTAGCAAAAAAAAAATAATCCATAGGGAGAAGACCTGCAAGCATTGGGAAGAGCATGACTTAACGCATCTTCACTGCAGTAAGAGCATTTGATCAATCCTGCTGGAGAATATTAACTTAATCCAATGAACTTCTTATTCTAGAAGGAGCCAGGCATCACCCCCTTGCTGTGTGCTAGAGGAGCCACACACTACAACAGCTAAAGCCAAGCTGGATTTTTCACATGGCACGTAGGCCATCTGGAAGGTAGGCTTCTTCCCAGTACACTTCTCCACCCAGAGGAAGTAAAAACTTCCATCAATTAGTGGGTGTCTCCAGAATTGACTCTCAGATGCCTCTGTCAGTGGTGTGCCACCATGCCAGGGCTGAGGAAGGTCTGACCCTCTTCGTTTTCCCCTGCTGAGGGGTATTGTGTTTCCTGTTCCTTGGGAACAGCCATCTCTCTACTAGAGATGCTTCCTCCCCCTGCATGGAGGGAGGAGAATGTAGAGAACAGAAGTCTTTTAACTCTGAGAAGACACTCGCCACCTTACATTTTGAGGCAACAAAACCAAAGCAAACCCCATTTTAATCCTCTTCAGCTTCCAAACAGTTAATCCTCCTCCACGATTATGCCAGAGACCTGGAGGAGGCTACTTTGGTGTTCCCAAAAAACACCACCAGAGCTTAGTGCTTCCAGAACAGACTGGAACACGAGTTTGAGATAAGGACCTGTGATAGTTCAGAATAAGCAGGACGCATTGGTCACGGATACAAAGCAGATCACTCCAGGCTTAGAGCTCAGAAAACCCCAGTAAACACCCAGTAGATACAGACTCACCTGCAAATAAGTCCTGATCATCTTGCTCTACACGAACCCCATTTTCTTTGGAAGTGCTGCTCACAGGAAGGAGAGATTCCCTTTTTGGTGGCGCGGGCTTGCTCTGTAAGAGGATTAAAACCACATAAACAAGAGGTCATTGACACTGAGGAATGGAGGCCGGGGGACCAAACAGCTCGCATTCCTAGCTGCTGCCACACAGGGTCACTACTACATATTTCCTTCAAGTGCAGTGCCCAGAGGACATCCCAGACTGCTTCCCTCCCGCCCACACTTGGGCGTTATGATCTCTGCCAGCAAGGCTGCACCGTGCCATCCAAGCCGTTAAAGACACCAAGTATCACGCAGAGCTTCACAGCCAGTTTCAACCCTGATCTTTAGCAGAACGGGAGCAGCTAGCAGGTCACTGGGACGTGCCAGCCCACAGGCCAAGTGTCACAGCCCCCGTGCCCGACTGGGGACTACAGCTGTTGGGAGCAGTAGACAGTTGAGTACACGCAAGCACTCCTGTTCACAACTCCCATAGCAGCAACACCACTTCCAGGTGGTGACTTGCACACCAGCACTAACACCCCACGAAGGCAGGTGGGCAGCAGCAGGGGACCTCCTGCGCTTAACTGCTGTGATCCGAGCACGCTGCCGACAAGAGATCCCTTGGGAAAGCCACGCTGTCGCCGTGGGTGGCAGAGACCCACGGCAATTTGCTCACCCAAAGGCAGGACACCGGGGATCACGGGAGCCTTGTCAGCAGCTTAACTTGTGCTAGCAGTTCAACCACTACCACGAGCCGAGCTGCCCTTCCCCAGAGGGCTGGTTAGGGCCTGCGGGAAGCTTTAATGTTTCAGTTCCAAGCGGTGCCAGAGGAGCTCATGGACTCCGCTGCCCCAGCGCTGCTGGGAGCCAGATTGGAGCCACACCACCCCCTCCTACGAGACCCCTCGCAGCAGAGACAAGGCTGTCACAGCTGGGCTAAAGCCGGGCACGGCTCTCTGTGTTTCGCAAAGCGATGCTGGCGCAGTCTTGCACACCGCGCTTTCCAACCCAAAGCTCGTGCTCCCCATGAACGGCTCAGCTGGGACAAGCCAGCCCTGAGCCCCAGGGCCGGGACTTACAACACAGCTCGTCCTGCCACGGCAAACAGTCCCTTAGGCAGACAATTTCGCTGGGGGGGGACGGGATGGGACTGTCCCGGCCACTGGAAGCAGTCTTGGGGACAAGGTGAAAGCCCACCTGAGAGCTTATACACCAACCAGT